TCTCAGACATGCATGAATGAGTCAAAGGAAGGCTTTGGGCATGTTTTTTTATGAGAGTATAACATTATAACATGATATAAAACTAAAAAAAAGTTGATTTTACATGATATTTCCCTTTTTTAAAACCAGAACATTTTCTCACTGATCTGTTTTGAGCTTCATTTGGGGGTGTTTACTCTAGTTTGGTTTTATCAGTTTAAATAAATACATGTTGCCTTTAAGTTTTTAATGCAAGAGAACATTTGTCTATAAGCTGCATCTAATGAGCTGTTTCTGACCGTCTTCTCTCTTTGTTTTAACTTGACAGTGATGAAACTGAGAGGAACCAGTGGATCTGCTCTCACCTCCCCTTCACATCGGACAAAATGAAGGAGGAAAATCAACTTGCCTCTATGACCAGAGAAGTCCATTATATCAGATCTTACACCAAAAAAACTGACTTGATTGGTTCTCAAAAGTGAAAGAACCCAAAAATAAAGCCGAAGCTGTTTTTGTAATAATAAAAAAAAGGCATTCCTCCACATGATCACTGCCTTGCAACATCTGGACAATTTATCTCTAAGACTGTTAACCACAACGACTGTTATCCTTCGATTACCTTCTCCCTTTAAAAGCATATTTTTATATGAAATATTTATCTGATTATATTGAGACGTCTTTTTTGTGGATAAAACTGTGAAATTCAGCCAGAAGGTCTGAGTTTGATTGAGTTGCCCTCAGACGTTTTCCTGGAGCGATTCGTTCTTCGCAGCTATGGATCTTGTAGGTTTTTCTATCAGGCTGCAGTTGTTCCTCAGCTCGTGTCTGGGACTGGATTTTTTAGGCACACCGGGTCAGTGGGCACGCTACCTCCGCTGGGACGCCAGCACCCGGGGGGACTTCAGCTTTCAGTTCAAGACGGAGGCCTCCGAGGCGCTGCTGTTGTACTTCGACGACGGCGGCTACTGTGACTTTCTGCAGCTGGCGGTGGTGGAGGGTCGGCTGCAGCTGCGCTTCAGCATCGACTGTGCCGAGACCGCCGTGGTGTCCAGCAGACGGGTGGACGACGGCAGCTGGCACGCCGCGACGCTGAGCAGGTACAACCTGCGCACGGTGCTGGTCCTGGACGGCCAGGCCAAAGCGGACGAGGTCAAGCCTCAGCGTCAGTTCATGAAAATAGTCAGCGACCTTTTCCTGGGTGGAGTGCCTCAGGACATCCGCAGCGGTGCGCTCACACTGCCTACAGTTCGAAACATGCAACCCTTCAGGGGAACAATCACAGACCTCAAATACGGCAACTCTCAGCCCCTGTTCCTCGGGAGCCTTAAGGTGCCCCTGGAGTCCGAGGGCTGGTGCACCGTGAACCCGTGTGAGAACGGAGGGACGTGCGTGGTGGTGGACGGCCAACCGGTCTGCGACTGCTCCAAGACGGAGTACAAGGGCCGCTTCTGCAAAGAAGGTAAAACCTTTTCTAACTGTCTCTAACGTATCCTGACACATTTCACACTGCAAAAACTGTCCATCTTACATACATGTCAGCTTGTACGGATTGTCCKTAAGTTRTAAGGATTTTACGTCATTTTGCAGGAATACGGACGTATAGAGCAATCTCATGGGTTTTTTCAAGTCTTACGGATTTTTACAAAGCCTCATTTTCAAATTTATCCAACATGTAGGATGCCTGTAGGATTTAAAAAAAACAATAACATCAAACAGCCATCTTTTAACCCAGTGGTTCCCAAACTTTTCAGCTTTTGACCCACAAAATAACAGTCGCAGAGACCTGTGGCCACAGCTATTTTTGGA